AAGCGCATAAACTTATCGAACATGTTTTTTGAAAGTCATGTCATCAAAGCCAAGAACAAAACGATTTACGCGTAAAGCTTTTTCGTACGGCGTCCTCGGTGGGCATCGGCAATACACTCCGTCCGGGCCTGTGTTGCCAAGCGGACCAGGGGGACCTCTAACTCCTTCAGTACCTTGTTCTCCCATGCGCCCGATCTCGCCTTGAGCTCCGTATGGCCCAGCTGCACCAGGAAATCCACTTATGCCTGGTGCTCCTTCACCACCGAACGGTCCTTCATTTCCTTGCATACCCGGTGGACCGCGTTTTCCTCGACCGTGATAGGCGTTAGCGCCCGGCATACCAACCCATCCAGGAACACCGTCCAGACCAGGCATACCAGGATCACCTGGTGTACCTGCAGGACCGTACCTTCCATGTTGTCCACCAACTCCTGGGATCCCTCGCTGACCAGCAGTCCCCGGCCGTCCTCGTGGTCCAGTAGTCCCGTGTGGTCCTTTGGGACCGATGGGACACTGTACACAATTAGATGGTTTCCAAAACGGACAGGAAGAAACACTTGATGGAGGTCCAGGAAATCCTTTCTGACCGTCTTCACCTGGGTCACCTGCCGATCCCTGTACACCTGGCGGTCCTGTCGGCCCAGGTGGACATTCTTCGCCCACCGTCACAAACACTGCTCGCAGTCGCCTGACTGCTTTACTCTTGGTGTCCCGCTTGACCATGTGCGAATGTTGCATGCTATCCATCATTACATTCCAGGCTGTGTTTGCAAATTCCTGGAAAAGTAGTAATTTGTAGTAAGTTAATCAATAGCTAATCACTGGGTAAGAAATAAGCAAACGGGCCTGAAACTCCTGCACATCCCGAATGACGCCGTCGTAGATGGAATTGATATCATGAAGAATTATAGCCAAGAAAAGTAGACAACCAGCAGTGACAAAGGCGCAGATCCACGCAACGAATGTTATCAGCAAACGGCTCATCGTCAACTGCTGCAATGCGATCTCT